TTAGGCTGATTGGTAACTCTAAATTGTCCCTAGGTGTGAGTGAGAGAGTGAATGGTTGTTTGTCTCGTTTGTCTCTATGTGTCCCTGTGATGGACTTGCGACCCGTCCAGGGTGTACCCCCGCCCCTCGCACAGTGATTGCTGGACATGGGCACCAGCGACCCCCGTGACCCAAAATGGAATAAGCGGGTAAAGATAATGGATGGATGGATGGATGGATAATATTTCTTATTTGTTACTTTTTATTGTATGATTGATGTAGGCTAAACTTATGCACAAAAAGATTTTACAGTGTCGTTATGTATTTGATAGTCAGAGCTTTGCATAAAAAGATGTCAGATGTGTGTTACTATTGAGTTTGTGGATTCTTAAAAAAAAAACTTGGGAATTTTAGTTGATGCACATCTCGCTTTTAAACCACATATTGAAAACTTGATAAAGAAACTGAAATTAAAATTAGGTTTATTTTTCAGAAATAGATCTTACTTAACTCTGAATGCCAGAAAACACCTTGTAACCACTACCTTCCTACCGGCCATTGACTATGATATTATTTACATGAATGATCCTGCCAGCGGGCAGCACGGTGGCGCAACTGGTAGAGCTGCTGCCTCTCAGCGAGCAGGTCCCTGGTTCAAACCCCGGTCCGGGGGCCTTTCTGGGTGGAGTTTGCATGTTCTCTCCGTGCATGCGTGGGTTTTCTCCGGGTACTCCGGTTTCCTCCCACAGTCCAAAAACATGCATGTTAGGCTGATTGGTAACTCTAAATTGCCCCTAGGTGTGAGTGAGAGAGTGAATGGTTGTTTGTCTCGTTTGTCTCTATGTGTCCCTGTGATGGACTTGCGACCCGTCCAGGGTGTACCCCGCCCCTCGCACAGTGATTGCTGGACATGGGCACCAGTGACCCCCGTGACCCAAAATGGAATAAACGGGTAAAGAAAATGGATGGATGGATGGATCCTGCCAGCTGTTGCAGATGTTGGATGCTGTCTACCATGGCGCGCTAAGATTCATAACTGGTTGTAACTACCGTACCCATCACCCTGTACTCCTTGGTTAGTTGGTCATTGTCTACACACTGGTTCATTTTCATCTATAAATCCCTCCTTGGTCTGTTACCTTCTTATATCTCCTCTCACATGTCACGTCGTCAGTGCAGTTACAGCGTGCGCTCGCAGTCCATCATTACCTCCAGCGTTATGTCAGTGTGGACTGAATTTGGCAAAAAGTCCTTTTCCTACTCGGCTTCTGCACCTGGAACACCTTGCAACAGGAACTGAAGTTGTCCTCCTTGATTTCTTCATGTCCCTGTGATGGACTTGCGACCCATCCAGGGTGTACCCCGCCCCTCGCACAGTGATTGCTGGACATGGGCACCGGCGACCCCCGTGACCCAAAATGGAATGAGCGGGTAAAGAAAATGGATGATGGATGGATTTCTTCATGGGGTTTCAAACATTTGATAATGTCAATGGAAAAATCAAAGCAAATATGTTCTTGTTTTTAGTATTTCACCCTGTTTTACGGCACCCTGATTTATTGTTTTGTACACTACTCTTATTTTAACGACATTTTAACTTTATCGTTATTGTTGTCTGTACTTTATATGTTCTGTCTGGAACAGGTCTCTCTAGTAAATGAGTCCTTGAGGCTCAATTTGACTAACCTGAATAAATAAAGGTTGAATGAATGAATGAATGTATGTTTCCATACAATGGCAAAATTAGTCTCTGCGTCTAACTCATCCACCACCCGGTGGTGTGGTGGGCAGCTATTGGGTGTGCCCGGGGGGCATTTTGGGGATGAGATGTGCTGCCCAGAGACACCACGCGGTATGCAGTGACTGGGGATCGAACCTGGGACTTTGGGGTCCCAGGCCGGCTGCCCTGCCTCTACACCATCTCGGCCCCCATTTAAAGAAGTTTGTGTTAAAACTGCTGATTCTGTCTTTCATTCTGAGTTAATCTGACAGATTATGGATCTTTTTGAACCGCAGCAGGTTCTGCAGTCTGACAGTATGACAGGTAAAGAACGGATCTCTTGGGAGCTGGATGGGAAAACAGCCTGTTGTTCCTTTCAGCGTCTCTTAAATCACTTTCAGTCTCCTGTGCAGCATTTATTTATTTACAAAGTGTTGCTTCATTCTTTGTGACAACAGACAGGAAAGCATGACATCACACTTTGTTAATAAACATTTTCAGATATCTATTAAACAGCATTTCTTGAAGGAATGCATATCGCCCACCATCTTTCAGGAGTTTCTAACTAAAGTTTGTTTTGGTTCAACTTTGTAAATTACTGATCTAATGTGAGATCTCTCAGAATGAGTCAGCTCTCAGAGCATGTGTTGAGGATGAGTGTCAGCTACTACCACACCAAACTTTAGCTCATTATCAGTGAAATTAAATAAGCTAGGGTTAGTTGTTTCTGCTAAAGGGGATTGGCTGAAGAGGTCGTCTTTTCTAAGAGGTTAATTCAAATCTGTTCACTGCATTATGGAATATTTTGCTAACAGACACCCACAAAGTCACAGATAAAAACATTATTGTCCTCCTTCATTTTTTATCAGCGGTTGATGATGTTTTAGTTTCATTCCAGAGTTTTGCTTCCTGTCTGCTCTGCTCGGTGGACGTGTGTTTTTTTCTGCATCATGTCTCATTTCTCAGCTTCTCAGCTGCAGCGGCCTCTCATCAGGATGAGACTCCTGTCTCTCGGTTTCCTCTGCCTCATGTCCTGTCACGCAGCGCATGTGGACAGGCGTCGTCCCAGACTCGTCCCAGTCAGAGGACAGAACGACACAACAGTCCAAAGCAACGCGGTGGGTGAGTGACTCGGTGCTGTCCAGAACCTGCTCTGGCAGAGCTTTTACCAGAACTCATCCCAGTCCTCCTGGTTGCAGAGAACCCTTGTAAAGCCGCCCCGCTGGACTTCGTCTTTGTCATCGACAGCTCCAGGAGCATCCGCCCCAACGACTACGAGAAGGTCAAGATCTTCATCATCAACCTGCTCCAGTTTCTAGACATTGGCCCTGATGCAACCCGGGTCGCTCTGCTCCAGTACGGCAGCGTGGTTCAGCCCGAGTTCTCCCTCAGCACCTACTCTTCCAGAGATGAGGTGGAGCAGGCTGTGAGGAACATGAAGCACCTCGACACGGGGACCATGACCGGTCTGGCCATCCAGTACACTGTGGAGGTGGCCTTCACCGAGGAGCAGGGGGCTCGACCCACGAGCCTGCACATTCCACGCATCGCTGTGATCGTGACTGATGGGAGGCCTCAGGACACGGTGGAGGAGATTGCAGCTGAAGCCAGGCAGGCCGGCATCCAGATCTTTGCCATCGGAGTGGGCAGGGTGGACATGAACATCCTGAAGGCCATAGGCAGCGAGCCGCACTCTGAGCATGTCCACCTGGTGGCCAACTTCAGTCAGATTGAAACCCTGATCTCTGTGTTCCAGTCCAAACTGTGTGGAGGTGATCATCCCTCGTACTGTCATGGTTCTGATCTGTGTGTTGCAAACCTGGGCCTGAGAACCTGTGAACGTTCATATTGTAGGTACAGACATGTGCAAAGTGGTGGACCATCAGTGTCAGCACATCTGTGTGAGCAGCCCCGCCTCGTACAGGTGCAAGTGCAGAAAAGGCTTCACCCTCAACCCCGATGGAAAGACGTGTAAAGGTGACAGAGCTCTGAAAACACTTGGCAACACATTTTCACCAGTTTCAGTTTCCAGTCACGCTTCAGTAACAGCCTGAATCACGACTGACAGAAGGAACACGAGAAGCTCACGTCCAACTTTTCACGGAGCCTTTTGAACCTTGCACGTTCTTGATTTAGGTCTTCTCCATCTTACAGAGTTGTTGTCATCACAACAAACAAACAAACCTTTCAGAGTTTGATGCAGCAGACAGAAATGGTGACGCATTAGTTCATAAAAAATGTTTTTGTTCCTAAAGACAAAAAGATAGAAAACAAACCCGAGTCATTATTATTGTTGTTTTGGTCAATCTTTGAAAATAACAAGCCGATATTACAACGCATGGCATGCCCTGTTAGCACTTGGAGTATGTGCTGGGAATGACTGTCAGCTACTACCACTCTACATTTAAGCTCAGAATGAATTGAAGCATGGTCATTGATCTGGAAGCTGAGGGTGATTTATCATTGCGGCCATCTTGAATGGGGTTCATTCCAAATATTAATCAGTTGTAGATGTAGAGCCAATAATAAAATTCTGAACATTTAAACCCATTCATTAATTTATGTGATATTTTGCTAACAGACAAACATAGTTAACTCCGACAGTTAATGCCAAGCTTCAAAAAAATATGTCTAAAATGTTCAATGTTCTTCTGCCCTTTGGCCTGTGGATGATTTTCCTCCATGTTGTGTCTCTGCAGCTGATGACACGTGTGCCACGGTGGATCACGGCTGTAAGCACGTCTGCGTGAACCTGCCTGATGGCTACGAGTGCCGCTGCCGTCCAGGATATGAGCTCACCATAGACCAGAAGTCCTGCAACAGTAACAGAGCAACCCTTCCTTTAAACATACTTCCTTCTGTTTCTCAGACTCCATCATTTAACATCTCTTTCATCATCTAAACCTTGTTACATGACAGATTCTCCCAATGCATTTAAAAAACTATATTTAGCCACTGCTTTATCATAAACTCAGGTCATACTTTTTACATTTATTCCTAGAAACAGAACTGTCTTTATATTTAATACAAATTAGAAACAGGAATAATCAAATAATAATGAAAAACAGTATAAAAACATTTAAAAATGTGCAAAATATGATTGCCACAGTCTTTCTTAATGAATAATAAACTCTACCTGGTCAGGTGTCCTGATCACTGTGAGGACCAGCTGCTCAGAGTAAAATACAAACACATCCACAGCTGACTTCAACGATTGTGTTGCACCAAATCGAAACAAACATTTATCACCAGCCACACGTTGCTGCCAGAGATCCAGGTTAAGATCATTTTATGTTTCGAAATGAAAGAACTGTAGTTTTTGGAGGGGGTGGGGGGTCAAACCATGAAAATACTGTTATCTCAATCTTATGTGATATCAAGTGATGTCACACCCAGAGTTTGTGTTGTGAATGACTCTCAGCTACTACCACATCAGATGTCAGCTCAAAATGCTCTAAACTGACTGGACTGTGGAATTTGTATATTGGCTATTGTCGATTAGCTTTGGCAGTCGTCTTCACTTGGACTGACTTCAGAAGTTAAACAGTTGTAGATGTCCATCCACTTTTTACTTTCTGAAAGTTTTGATAAAAAGAGGTGTTTCATTAGATATTTTGCTAACAGACACATACAAACACCCACTGACATGGTCAAAACATTCTTGTCCACGCTTGGCTTTAAGCGGCGGGAGATGTTCCCGTTAAACCCTGCTCTAGTTGCAGCAGCAGCAGCAGTGATGGTGCAGATAAACATTAATGGGGACTCTCCTCAGGAATAGACTACTGTGACCTGGGAAACCATGGCTGTGAGCATAACTGTGTCAGCGTTCCAGAGTCCTACATCTGCAGGTGTGGCAAAGGCTACCTGCTCAATGCGGATGGCAAGACCTGCAGAAGTAAGAGCTTTTGATTCGTCTGTATTCTGGTCTGGCCACAAAATGCACTGCATTGTGTAGAAATGTCTGCTCTTTATTTGTTTTTCCTTCCAGAGGTGGATCCTTGTGCTGATGGCAGCCATGGATGTGAGCAGGAGTTTCTGAGCACAGAGGGCAGATGTGTGTGTAGATGCAGAGAAGGCTTCACGCTCAGACCTGATGGGAAAACATGCAAAAGTATGAAAGTGATCATTAATGCTTCTTCTCTTCTAGATTTCACTTTTTTAAATAGTTGTTTCTATTTTGATTAATGCCTTTCTAAATATAAAAAAATACAGTTTGTTCATGGAGATACAAGAAAATGTTTAGTTGTTTGGTTTAGTGCAAAAATTGTTCCACATCTATTCTGCTGTCTGGGCACAGATTGTTTTGACAGATTTATAATGATGAATAAAACTTAAAACAACAAAAACAAGTTTTATTTTAAGACGTATCTAATCTTTGTGGCCTGTGGCATTTCTGTGAGCTCGCATGTTCTCCCAGTGCATGTGTGGTGGTTTTCTGGGTGTTCCAGTTCTCTCCTATCATGCAAAGTAAGGGTGACAAACAAATCCCAGTTTGCTCTTTTTAAAATGAATTTTACAAAAGAAATATGCAGAAAAGCTCAAGGATGAGATAATGCCATCTGTCCATCCATTTTCTGATGTTTTGTGTGGTTGGATAGCAGAGGCCCAAACATCCCTCTCCTCAGGGACATTCTCCATCTTTGTCTAGGGGATTCCAGGGTTTTACTGGGCCCAGATGGATGGTACTGTAGATGGACCAATAAACTGAGAGCTTTGCTTTTTGCCCCAACTCCTTCACCACTGTGAGATCCTGAGCGACGACTTCATTACTGAAAACAAATTTGATCCAATTCTTGCTCCAGCCAAGACTCCCAGAAACATGAAGTCCTCTGCTTAAGGCAAAGACTCGTCCCTGATCTAGAGGGAACCTTCCACCTGCTTCTGGTGGAGAACCACATGATCTCAGCTTTAGACGAGCTGCCTCATCCCAATCATTTCACTTGGCTGTGAACTGTCCTAGTGCACACTGAAGGTCACAACATGAAGATACAAACAGAACCACAGGCACATCATCTGCAAAAAGCAGAGATGAACACTGAACCCTCATTGCCTCCGTTGTGTGTCCCATCAGTGTATGAATGTGATAAAAAGCTCTGATTAGTCTCTTTGGAATGATTTCTTCAATTAGCTTTGTAGAGATCTAGTAGAGTGCTGCATGAATGGGTACATGAGGACACAGATTGTAGTGTAAAGCACTTTGAGTATCTCGATAAGATAGAAAGGTGCTATATACAGTCCATTTACCATTTACCTTCATCTTCATGGCTGTGCTCTTGTATTGCATCCATGAGGCCCACCAACAGGATCAGAGACAAGGGACAGCCCTAATGGAGTCCAACTTGCACAGAGAACAATCTCAGCTTTGTGTCAAGGATGTTGACACAGGTTTGGTTATACAAAAACCGGAGAGCTCTTAAAAGTGACCCAGGAATACCATATTTCGTAGCACCCCTCACATGATGTATTAAAGAACAGTCATACCTTCTCCAGATTCACAAAACACATGGAGATTGGAGAATCAATCACACATGACCCCTTAGCTGCTCTTTCCTCAGTCCTTCATGCAAACATTGAAAAAAGTACCAACCAGTCTTACAATGTCCAGAACCTTCAGCCTCTTGGAGCAAGTCTCGTCCACTATTGTATGTGTGCTTGTTGTTTGACACCCCACATAGATATTTTTTATATTCTGAGAAATCTTGAAAATGTTTATCTCATGCACTATCACTATCAGAAATATTTAAAATAAGGCTTTTTTAAAGCTTACATATAATTTGTACAGTATATTCACCCTGACAAATGTTCTCTCCTCCAGAGGTGGATCCTTGTGCTGATGGCAGCCATGGTTGTGAGCAGGAGTTTCTGAGCACAGAGGACAGCTGTGTGTGCAGATGCAGAGAAGGCTTCACACTCAGACCTGATGGAAAAACATGTCAAAGTATGGAAGTACTCATGTTTTTACTCTTCTTTTAATATTCGAAGTGATTTGGAAATTATTTTTAGACATTTAAAGCTTGAAAACCTGCATCATTTGTTCATAAAGATGTGAAGACTTCATTCATTTATAGGGTAAAGTATTTTTTAAGTTTCTGAATTCTTGTGACAACATTTGAAAAAGTTGTAAAACAAAATCAAGTCTTGAGGATGTGTTTTAGAACAAACGGACATGTTTAAGTAATCTGTAAAATCCTGAAAATGTTAAGAATCTATGAAGTAAAAAATATTATTATGGACTTTTTGAGACAGTTTTTCATCTACAGAGGTGGATCCTTGTGCTGATGGCAGCCATGGATGTGAGCAGGAGTTTCTGAGCACAGAGGACAGCTGCGTGTGTAGATGCAGAAAAGGATTCACGCTCAGACCTGATGGGAAAACGTGTAAAAGTATGAAAGTGCTCATGTTTTTACCAATCTTTTATTATTTGAATTGATTTGGAGTTTTTAGACCTCCTCCAGCCCTCTGATAATTCATTGATCAAGCATCAGAAACCCATGTAAATTAATCCCCCCCCCCCCAAAAAAAAGAGAGGAAAAAAACCCCTGACATAAATTTAAATGTTCCACAGTTTTAAAGTAATGTTTAAAGAATTTTGTGACTTTGTAAGTAAGAACTGTATCAGTGTAGCCACAAGAAAGAACTGTTATTAAAATCTAGAGCAGGGCAGGTTATTTCAAAGTTGTTGTTTTTTACCAGCTACTCATTGGATTGTTCAACATGTTTTGTTCTTTGGCAGGTTTACATGTGCAGACATATTGTTAGATATATGTGCATATCTAACACTGAAAAACCAATAGATGTATGTATGTATGTATGTATGTATGTATGTATGTATGTATGTATGTATG